AAACTATTTGAAATAAATGTAACTGTCTTTTAGATCTTTATGTAATTCTGAAGTCAAAGCACTAAAGAAATGTAAAAAAGGCTTTCCTAGGGTGGCACCTATGGGGGGCAAGTGGATGGCACACTGTGCTGACCCTCAACTGACCCAAGCTGGGGTTTGCTTGCCCTTTCCATGGTCCCAAGCAACCCCAACTTGGTGCTTAGCAATCTCCTTGGAACCCTAGACTGTCCAGAGAAAGGAACTACAAGCATTGCTGTGAATCCCTCACTGGGGCTAGGGCCAAAGCCCAGACACATTCCGATAATTTGCTCAACAACATGCATGTTTGACTGGGGCAGTTCCCACAGACCCACACTGCAATCCTGCGAAGCCAGAAAGAACGTCTCAGCCTACTAGTCTTCCGCGGACACCTTCCTTCTCTATCAGGAGCATTCAACCATCACAGAGATAGCTCTGGAGAAGCAACTGAATGCATCAAACTGTGTTCAATTCAAATAGAACAAATGTTCCCATTCTGTGGATAAAGATAAATACTCACTGAGGTTAGGCAGTGTGCTCAGGGTCACACAAATCAAAAGAGCCAGGAGAGGAAGCCTAACTGTTGCAGAAGTTTGGAGCATGTGCTTTCCCAGATCAAGTGTATTTAACAAGCTCAGAGACAGCCTCAAGGAAAGAAACTTCACTGATGAAATTATGGGGATGAGCTAAAAGGACAAGAGAAGGCCTGTGAGCTGTGGAGTTCTTAGCCTTCCTCGTAAGTAGTCCCTTTGCTCACTCATAAAGCCTCTCCACATTCTGGAATTCTTTTGCCCTCTGTCTACACTTTGACTCAGAATTCCTCAAGCACAGTCAGCAAAGAATCCAGTTTTCTCTCTCTCTCTTTTTTTTTTTAACTGAACTATCACAGAGTGAACCCCAGGTGAGCCTGGCCTTACTTCCTTGGGGAATTTCCATCCCAAACTGAGGCTGATGCTTTGTCCTTGATGTGACTGCTGCTGACTAACTAGCAGACCAGCCGTCTACACGGCCTCATCCAGTGTGGGGGGACAGTGGGAAACTTTCTCCCCAGGCTTGGCTGTTCAACTGCATCCCCCAGAAGCTCTTCTTTAAAAACCTAATAACATGAATATTTTATTTGATTATAAGTGTAACGTATGCACGTTATGAAAAATGTGGAAAAAAAATAAAAGTGAAAATCACTCATTAGTCTACAAAGACAAACTGTAATATAAGAGACTATTAAAAGCTGTGTGATGATAGCAGTGTGTGTGTATGTGTGTGTGTGTGTTTGCACAAGCCACCTCTACCCTCTCGTCTGTAAATCTAGAAGAATAACTGCGGGTTTGTGGATTGTATGAAGTGACTGTGAGCCCAACAAAGAGCTTTTGTTTGTATGCGACATGTCGGTGCGAATATTCCACAACGCTTGTATGTAAGACAAAGGAGGAGGCAGGAGTGGTGTCTTCTGACCAACATACAGATCAGGCTCCATTGTCTTGTATTATTTTCTCTGCATTCCTCTTTAAAGCATTTTTCATATCACATGCCCCATCTCATATCACATTAACCCATATAAAAATGCCATTATCCATTCAGTTCGACAAACAGCAGGCCGAGTGTGGCAGAAAATCGCAATCACACCAGCCAGCAACAAAACACACCAGCCGCAAGCTCACAGAGGACCCTGTGATGAACAGCTGGCCCAGCCCCCCTTTTGCAATTGGGTTTTGTATAGGTGGACCCCTCTTTACACGCAGGGCATGCTTCTGAAGACTTGTGTGTAAATCATATGTCATGTGACATTCCATTTCCGTTACATTACAGAAGCTTCAAGCTAGATGCAGAAAGCCGCTCCCTTTCAAAGGGTATTTTTTTCGCTTTGTTTTACACCATGTGACTATTCCTTGGAAATAAATAAATCTAGGAGATACCTAGGCATGTGGAGCTTTAGTAAAGTCAAGTCCACTTGGCCACTCACTCAGCTTATTAAAATAACAGGATGGTCGGTCTGAGGATGTGGCTTAGGCGGTATTGAGTTCTCCAGGCACAGTGGGCTGAGCTGTTTAAGAGTAACATCGCAGAGGTCACCCCAAGTGACCCATCTAGGCACACATTTCTACTGAGGGATTATTACGCAAATGGATTGAGAGTTTCAGAAAGAATGCTGAGGTCACCGAGTGCCCACCCACAGTTACCAAGTGCACGCTGGTTGTTCTCATCTCTGTTCTAAGCAGCTTCAGATTAAGGAAATGGGATAAATTACATTTGTTTTTCAAAAATCAAGTGACGAAGTCTTCCCCGGCAACTAGTGACCCAGTGCTGAATGCTGACATACTGTGGGGCACAGCTGGCCAACGGCTTCTGAAGTCGCGGTGCAGGGGGCTGAGGACTGCTCCAAATCCATAACCGGTGAAAGCTTGGCAGGCACGTTACCAACAGCAGATGAGACGGAAATAGACCATGTTACAGGTGATGAAATCTGAATGCCTAACTACAGCCCTTCACCCACCCAAGCGCGTTTTTACTCACATCATGTCCCAAACCACCAGCTCCTCTGGCCTTCAGGATTCCCCTCCACACTCCCTCCAAGACTCGTGGCCACAAGGGAGGGTCTCAGACAACATGGCTGGCCTCCATTGGCTATGTGGCATGCTCTGCCCTGAACATCTGCTCTGGACCCGCGGCTCGACTACCACAGTAGGCCGTGGGCCCTGTCTGGGGACCTCGCAGCCCTGAGCTCAGACCCAGGCTCCCTCACCCTCACTCAACAAGACACAGCTCTGCTCACCAGGATCAGCTCCTTAAGCAGTCAGGCCCCTGCTGACACACTGTTTTCTCCGCACCTCCCAAAACCAGTGGGCTGGCTCAGAGAGCGAAGTGGGAGGGAGGGGTCCAAAAAGCCACGTGTCCCTCCAACATCTAACAGCCATCCCAGCAGTCCCACTTTGCCAGGCTTTTTCAACAGCCTGAGTGTCAGATCAGTTAAGAGACGGCTCTACTCACAACACAGAGCAGCACACCTCAGCACAGCAATAAGTCTTATAGATTGGGGCCTTTTTAATAAATGGGCCCCAATGGGTCAAAAGATCAACTGCACATGGCGATGATTCATGGAAAAAGTCCTCGTGGTGTTCACTAACCTGAAGCCCAATGCTTGCCTGTGTGACATGTCTTCAGAAAAAGTCAGCATACACAGGCATTGTGACTGACTTTAGGGAAGAGACCCACTTGTGATTTACCACATCTCACCTGAAACCCCATGGTGCACTTATGAGCCACTTTTTAAGGCAGCAGTGAAAGGGAGAAATGTAAGCAAATTATGTGAGGACGGGAGACCGCAGTTGAAGGGATGAGAATAGTTGTCCAGGAGGTGATCGGGGCACTTGCTCCCTGTGTGGGTGGATCACAGCCACTGGGAAGAAGGTAGAAATGAAACCAGCTGAGGCTGCTAGGGGAAGTCTGAATTTTGCCTCCAGACCACACGCCTTCTAACATAAACATTTGAAACTTCCCCAATGCTTCAATACTTTAAGAGCAAAGTTTATGGAACCATGAAGATTCGTGGACAGATCGAGTCATTCATTCACTCCACAAAAAGTTACAAAGTGCCAGGCACTGTTCTAATTACTGAGGAAACAAAAATAAACAAGCAAAATTCTCTCCTGTGCTTGGAACTCATATTTTGGTATCAAAGAGCAAACTCTAAACTTAGCTAACATTTCAAAATAAGGTTTCCATAAGAAATGCTCAGAACTATGGCTCACAGCAGGCTGTGTTAGCTATGATGCTATTCTAGAAAAAAGCCCTGGGTAGAAGCGAGTTCTCTCCATGTTTCCAACTTGGCTTTTCACACTTACAAGCGAGAGCATAAGTTCATGTAGGTATCCATTAGGCTCCACTAAGAATTCCACACACTCATGAAGCTTATTAGTCAAAAAATGAAATCATGGTATCTTGGCATCAGGTCATCACTACAGGAATGTTCCTGATGACATTCTCTCCACTTTCTGGGTGTGGGTTAGAAATTTTTTAATACTAAAAATATTTGGACCCTCCCTGGTGGTGCAACAGGTTAAAAAAATTCAGTAGTTGTCCTATGTAGGACAACTTCACACAGGAAGCCTCTTGAAGTCAAGGGTTCCCCTATATTAGGATATTTAAGCAGCCTATGCAGAAATAACCATCCATCAGAAATGTGCTAAAAATGATGTTCAGGGCTCTCCCTAGTGGTACAATGGGTTAAAGCACAGCACTGTGAAGCTAGCCACAGCCACTTCAGCGCAAGTTTGATCCCTGGCCAGGGAGGTGACCCACATGGCACAGCAGACCTCTCCTGTCTCTCCACTGCTCCCCTCAGCAGTGTGCTTCGTTGATCCGCCTGCTCTGTTCCCTACTGTCTCCTGTGAATCCTCTCACCCTACCTGCACCTCTGGCCTTTACCCCAGTTCTGAACACGCAAATAAATCTTTTAAAATAATAATAATAAATATATATATATATTTTTAAATATTCATACTGAATGAGAATTTGGAATAGGTGAACCTTAGGTTCCTTTAGAATATGAAAACTCTATATTCTAGGGAGAGATCTGAAGTATAATTGGAACCAAGCAAACATGGATTTGGGCTAATTCCAATCCATATGGGTTGTGGTCTATTAACTCTCTAATGCTAACCAAATGTCATGAAACTGACTACTGCTTTTCATTTCTGTCTAAGCATTTAATGATTATTTTCTTAATTATTGCACAGTATTTACTCTAGATCCTTCCTCTTTAGCTTCTAAAAATAAGATTGCTTAAGCTCAAAAGACATGTTCAGCTATTGTATTTTGATATTTATGAATCTTAGCTCTCCTCTTGAATCTCAGCTGCATGAAAGTTGCTTTCAAAACAAAGTCCATTTTCCCAGGAAGCACAGCACACAACCACTTTATTTGCAGCTAATTTAGGTGTGTGCCTTGCACGATGTCCTAATTATACCTTTGTTATCTGCTATCAGATGATCCCCCTAATCAGCGAGGCCTGCGACCTACTCCTGGCTCATTTAAAGCTCTACGCGGAATCTGGGGACGCCTTCGACATCCAGAGGTGAGGGCCTCATCGCCATATTACAGATGCGAAATTGCAATTAGAATCACTACTTCTTGGAAATGTACATAATTGCTGGATAATTACTTCAGGGTCAGCAATCTATGAAAATGCTAGAAGTTCATCGAGACATGGGTGGGCTAGTAACAAAAATGAAATCCATGTAACCTGTGAACACAGCTGGGGAGGGGCTGGCAGATGGACAGGAGCCTTGGGTGGGCAGTGGTGTGTAGGTGGGCCTGCCTCTGGACCTGGAATGGGCAGGTTACACCTGGACAGAAGGACAGAGTCCTGGGGGAAGGTCTGCATGTTTTTACTTCAAGAAAAATCTTCATGCACCTCAGCCTAGAAGCCATGACTTCATGGTGGACACCAAATTTAAATGAGGGTCTGGTTTTCTCCAAGTTGTCCTATGCAAATTCTGATTTACAGCAGAGTAGAAGTAGTGGGGTAGGTGTGCAAGAGGCTGACTTGTTCTCGTTCTCATTGCTAACAGTACTGTAATCACCACTACCACTTCAAATCTGCCATACTGTTCACAAAATCCTCCCGAATTCTCTCCGGTCATCAGATGCAAGACTTGGTTCAAGACAAGGCGGGTTTAGTGGCTATAAATTCCAAGTCGATAGCTCTTAAAACCTTCAACTTTTCAACCATTAGGATCAAATGAAATCACTTTCAGTAGTTTAATTTGTTTTTGCTATGGCTGAGAAATTGTAGGGATGTTTCGATAAAAGCAGGCAAAGTCCAGGAAGTCGTCTTGAGATGTCACTACCCCATAAAGATAAGGCGTTGGTTAGAGAACTCACTCAGGAAGAAGAGGAATTAAACATGTGGCCACAAAAGCTGAGAAAACAGACTTTTTAATTATAAAAGGACATGAATAGCCAGTTATTGCCTTATAGAAAATGCCTTCACCTGAACACTCCTACAAATTAACAAAAAGGATCATTCTCCTTTAAAACAGGAGGCTGAGTTTCCTGGAGCGTTAGAGGTTAATTCTTGGGGTGCTGCTGCCAGACACTTTTCCTTATGTTTGTTTCTAAAGTGCAACATGTGCTTTTTGTTAATAACCTACATCTGAGCATAAGACTGTCCCCAAGTTTGTCTTGCATTTATCTGCAAGGGCCCTTGTGAAGGGCCCTTGCTTTTTGTTGTTGCTCTTATGGAAACTGTAAAATCACTGGGAAGAGGGGGGTAAAGCTAATAAAACGAGACAATCGGGTTGGTAATTCATCCATCCCAATTTGCTCCGTGTCAGTGAATCATGAGATCCTGACCTTGGCTGGGCTCAAGCACAGCTCTGAGCCAGTTACATTCCCTCCTTCTCCGGGAGGAGAATTTAAAATGTGCTTCTTGGTTTGGGACTGTCTGGCGATCAAGGCCGCCGACCCCTGGAAGTGTAAGCGACGCTCTCCTCCCTCTGCAGTCTCCGTGGGCCAGCCACCTGTCGTGTTGATGTGTCTTGTCTCTTATTCCGTTGCCACTGCTCCAAGCGTGGACTTTGTGCTAACTCTCAATCACTTCCCTGCGGAGCTGGGGGCCACAGAGGGTGTGATGGGGAGCCAGTGGCAAAGTCCTTGCAAAATCCCAGCGGCTCCCTCCCCGACAGGTGCTACTGCTTCTACACCACCGACGTGGTTGCCAGCTTGGCCTTCGGCACCCAGGTGGACTCCCGGAAGTCCCCCGACCACCCCGTTGTAAAGTATTGCCAGCGCTTCTTTACATTCTCCATCCCCAGCTCCATCTTGGTCTTGATCTGTAAGTACCACCCCTGATGAGGGCCATCAGACTGGGGTACAGGGCAGGCCCAGACACCCAGCTACACCCAGGCACTCTGGGCTCCATCCCTGCCTTTCAGAAAAGGCACTTGGGTGCCTCTGAGAGTGTCCTGGTCTTCGTGGTGTCACCTCTTGTCAGCAGCCTGGGGATCAGCTATTGCCAGGACAGGGCACCCTGGCCTCTCTCGCCTGGGCAAGGGGGTGTGGCAGCTGAGAGCTCTGCCTCCACTGCCTGTCGTGTTCGTGTTCAGAGACTCCATTTCACTGAGGAGAAAACTGAGGCTAACAAAAGCAGAACCAAGACTGGCATCCAAAGCCTTTGCTTTCCAAGGTGTATAGTTCTCCTGTCTGCAACACCCTCTCCAGAAGACATCTCTGCTTGAAGCCTAGTAATTGTCAGCTGGAACCACGTGCTGGGTGACCAGCTCTGGAGCCCAAACGATGTATTCAGTTTTCCTTTTGGAAGTGTTTTAGCCCCAATGCCAGCATCTTCTGGCCTTGACGGAAGTGTTGCTGCTACTGATGGTTGCCATATTTCTAATTGCTCCCATTTCGGAGTCACTTCAGTGGAAACTTGTCACCTCCAGTTTCCAGGGAAACCCCATCACCTTCATGTGCTCAGCTCTGACACTGCAGGCACTGCTCCCACTGAGCGGGCCCCTCGAGCCATCTAGAGACACCGTGAACCCCAAAGCGGCTGCATTGCTCCTTGCTGCTGCCATGCCCTCCCCACGCCGCACCCACTTTCCCGCCCTCTCAGCTCCGTCAGACTCCAGGTCTAGAAATTGGGCAGAGCGCTCTGAGACACTGTGGCTCCGGACCTGCCCTCCCCCACAGTGCTGTCCAACAGGGGGCTGAGGAACTGAGCTGGGCCCGCTCCCCTGTGGTGGGTGCAGCCGCTTGTCCCAGCCATGCTCCCTGCCCCAGGGAGCCAGTCCCAAGGGCACGGCACCTAGGTCCCGTCTTGTCAGTGCCCACAGGGGCAGCTCTTAGGGATGAGTCAGATGACAGCTCTGGGGTTAGTCATCCAGGGGGAGAAACGCAAATGACCAGATGTTAAGAGAGCAGATCAGCTTCTACCAGTCCTAAGAGCTGAAATGTGGCTTGTTTCAATGAGACAGCAAGACCCAGGGCCCTCATGCCAGGGACCTGCATAAGGAATATAAGCCAGCCTTAGCTTAGCATGTTCTCCTACTTCTCGAGTGCCAGGTGGAGGGGGGCCCCGTAATACACACGTCTAGCCAACCAGTGCCGGGCCTGGGGAGTTTTGGGGGAGGGCGGGAAGGGGCGTGGGCGAGCAAGCACCCGAGGAGCAGCAGTGCAAGAGTCAGGCCTGACTGGAGGCCAGGCTCTGCTTCCTGGGAACAAGCATCTAATGGCCCCGCTTTATTATCGCCCCCTTCTCAATGCCACTTTTGTTTTTCTTTCAAGTATCATTTCCATCCATAATGGTCCCACTGGCCCGGATTTTGCCCAATAAGAACCGAGATGAACTGAATGGCTTTTTTAACAAACTCATTAGGAATGAGATTGCCTTGCGGGACCGGCAAGCTGCAGAAGAGGTAACGTATTTTAATAGGACACAGCATTGAAATGGAATGGAGCCTAATTTGGCATCAGTGTCTCTCTCCTTTCCCCTCCCAACCCTGCACGCCGCACAGCACTGGCCTTTAGCAGAACTCCCCAAGAGGACTGAGAAGAGCAAACAAGTGAGACAGGTGGGAAAGGACTTAGGGAGCAGGCAAGGGCAGTCTGCCCCCTCTGACACGTGGAGAAGGATTACCCCCTCACCCCAAATCACAGGCCTCTCTACTTCAAGCATCACTTCCAGTACAGGTTCTAACAGCCCCAAAGAATTTTCTAGGCAAATGTGCCCACTTGCTCTTCTCACCATCACATTCTTTATAGATAGAAGCCAGAAGATGGCACTCGAAAGAGTCGGCAGCTGTTAGCCAGCCCCACGGGCGCCATTGGTGGCGTGGAGGATGTGGCTACAAGATCTGTGGTTGGGGCTTTGCTTGCCCTGAAGCCTAGAGCTCTCGCCTCCTTGCAGGCCTGTGCCATGCTTGGCACGCAGCTGGGACAGAGTATTGCTTGAACTTGACTGAGAACAGAAATAGGAATTTCAGTGTTAATGGGGACATTTCAATCCAGGAAAGTTCATGCATGGAACACACTATGCTTCAAGGGCTGCACTGCATCCGAAAAGTTGTTTACAAGGAAAAACGGGGCTGAAGTGTCCTCTCCCGAATCACCTTGAGCACGGGGCAGCTTTAAGAGGGTTCTCTCAAGGGCAAGGTCATTCAGAGTCATTTACAAGGAAAGGCTGTGTGGTCCGAGCACTGTGGCAGGGCAGAGAATGAAATCAGGAGTCAGTACTGGAGGCCTGGACCAGCCATGAGGGCAGCCTCATTCCAACCAGCTCCACAGCCCCACCCCCACCCCACCCTTGCCCTGAAAGCCTGTGGCAGTGTTAGGGTGCAGAGGCAGGTGGGGAAGCGCACACAGCCCCTGGCCACGCCTCCGAGAAGTCAGTGAAGCATTGAGGTATTGGGAAGAATAGGCTCACAGGCACCCCCGCCAGCTCCGAGAGCTTACGGACAGAACAGGACAGAACATTCTTACCCTGAGTGAGGATGGAGCCTGGGGGAGCAAGCACCACTTTCACAGCTCAGTGCTGGTTCGAAGGGCTTTCCGATGGGACTTTGGTCACATGCACAGCGCCCTCCACCCCCCAGCCTGAAATCCACTGGCTGTGGAATCAGGCTGAAAATTCTAAAACGGCTGCACCCGAATGGTTTACTAAGAGGTGAGGGGTTATTAAAGAGCCAATTACTGGGATTGCCTCAAGGTTTTCCTTTTATAAACTCGAGAGCTATTTGTTTCAAACAGTGAGTTGATCTGAGAAAAACCTCCCAACCACAAATCCAGGACTGCCCGTGTCAAGACAGAGCTATATGGTTACTAAGAAAACTTGCTTTAAACCCATCTGAACTCTGTAGACATTCCATCAAGCAGATGTGTGTTTGCGCAGTGGAAAATGCAGCACAGATGTTAAAAGGTAAATATTTTTCTAAGCTCTAGCCCATGGGTGGATTAGACACCTACATCTATCAGGGTGCATATTTTTCTTGGATATAACCATAAACCAGCACTGTTTCAGTCCTAAATGGGTGGTGCTCAAATAGCCTCAGTGATGCAGTGCAAATAGAAGAAACCCATCTACGTTAACGCTCCTCTCCAGCCGGGGCCCTGGAGAGAGGCCCTCTCCTTTGGCCTCTGGCACGGGCCAAAGACAGATTTCTGCCACACTAAAGGCCCTGGAGCAGTGGTGCAAGCCAGGATCAAAGGAAAGGAAGAGGCTCCCGTGCAGGGAAGCCACGGGAAAGCACAACAGTGCGGATGTTCTGTGTCTGCTCCCATCATCCTCACCCCAGTCCGGCAAAGCCACAAACACTCCGAGGAGCTTCAAAGATGCCAGCTGATTAGCCTCAGATGCTCTGGGGTCCCAGGCTGGTAGCCAGGAGCCCAGGCTGGTAGACAGAGCGCTCACCTCCCACATGTGTGGGCCCTGCCCTGGCTCTGCCCCTTGGGACCAGGGTCGGCAGCCACTCAGAAGTTGACCAAGCTGCTGGAAGGATGCTGGGGAAAGTCAGCCCTTGAGGAGACCCAGGTAGGGAGCAGAGGGCAGGCCCAGTGAGAAGAGGCAGCCAACGGGGGCCGGCCCTAGGCAAGCGCTCAGCAGGCAGACCAGCACGTGGCAGCACGTGGAGGCCCCGTCTGGCGTAGTTCTGGCTGCCTGCAGGCTTAAGCTGGGAGCCCAGCTTCATGATCCAGGGAAGCTGTAGCACCACAAGGTGTCCTGAGCCTAAGAGCACACAGTTGTAACCAAATCCAGCACAGGCTTCTTCAAAATGCATCTACTGCACCACTTTTTTATTTGTGGGTTTATTATCTACGTGCCCAGTGCCATGCCAGGCCCAGGTAAGGGGTGGGCATGGACAGGGTCTACTCTGGTGAAGAAAAACCAACCATACACCATGTAACTGCTTGAAAACCTGGAATGAGGTGTTAATGTGTACACAGCATAGATTATTAATGCGACAGAAGCTGAGAAGCCACTGAGAAGATGCTACCAGTAAATGACAATATTTTTGCTGGTGCTTCTGATGCACGCCTTTTGCCTTTCTGTGCCGTAAACTTCAGAGAAGAGTAGCAGGTTGCTTGTCACTCATCACATTAAAGAGCTTTTCAGAGAAGGATGTGCCAGGCTAGGCTTTGTCAATGCTGTATTTTTACTAACAGGAATCATAACATTAGCAGTGTCTATTGTTATGCTGTTTCTATTGTTATCATTCCTGGTAGTAAAAATATAAAGACTATGCAAATTGCCAATAAGGAAGGTTAGAGGAAAATGGCATAAAAAGACCAAACCACTTAAATGGGGTAAGGAGACTGACAGGAGCAGGGGCCAGTGCAGCCTGGTGCCTACAGACAGCCTTGCCAAAGCGCCTTCCCTCCCGCCCCTGGTTCTGCTAACTTCCTACCGTGTGAGAAAAACTTCGAGCCACGCACAGGAGCATGGGTTGAGCCCAAGTCAGCAAGGGAGCATGAGCTTGGAGCGAATGCACTAGGATGTTTTAATTGTTGGAAAACCAACCAACAGGCTAAACACAGATAAAGAATAACACCCTGGTGTTCCCACCAACTCCAGTCTATGGCCTGTCGGGCATGGAGGTCACTAGCCACTTCCTCTGCATGGACAGATGCACTGAATTACAGATATCGTACACTGACTGCTTTTACAGAATGAGAGTCCACTGTGCCTCCTGTTTCATGATTTTTTTTTTCTTTTTATACTTAAAGTGGTTTGACCAGGTGCATCCTCGCTATGACCCAGGGCTGGAAGAGGTGTGCAGAGGGCCCTGGTCCTTATTATCTCAGATAAACCTGCCAGGATCCTTGGTTCCTCTGACGCCCCTTAAAGCTGCACATGCGTGTCTTCCTTTGTTCCCCAGGAGTCTCGTTTATGTACCTCCAAGACCAAAGTGTGCATTTTCTTCTTCTGTCCCTTAGAGGCGGAGAGACTTCCTCCAGATGGTGCTGGATGCCCAACATTCCGCCTCCACCCTGGGCTTGGAGAACTTTGACATCGTCAGACAAGTGTTCTCCTCTCCCGAGTGCCCAGAAGAAACTCCTTCCCAGCAACGTCAGCCCCGACGCCTGTCCAAGCCCTTGACTGTGGATGAGATCGTGGGCCAGGCCTTCATCTTCCTCATCGCTGGCTATGAGATCGTCACTAACACACTCTCTTTTGCCACCTACCTGCTGGCCACCAACCCTGAGTGCCAAGAGAAGCTTCTGAGTGAGGTGGACCGCTTCAACAGGGACCACGTGAGTAGACCACCCGTGAAATCCACGGAACAACTCACTGTGCATTCTGCTTACGTTCTATGTTTGTAAGATGAAACAGGATGGCTGACCACCTTCTCCATGTCTCTAATTTAGCCAGTAAAATGCAGTATTCGGAACAACAGAAAACAAGAAAATGATTAAGCAAATCGGGCGCATGTGCTTGCTGTCTGGGGTAGGCCATGAAACCAGGTCTAGCTTGGCAAAGCTGCGAAGTCCCAGTGAGTTAGAGCCAAGGGTAGGGGTGGGGAGCAGGTGTAGTTTCTCGGTGCTTGATCGCGGGGTTCTCATGCCCAGGTGTGAGCCAAAACTTCAAGGTGAAATGGGCATAAGCATGGGGGTAGCTGAAGAAGGAGTAAAGATAGGGGAGTGATGAGAAGGCCTTTAACAGGGGAGGTGACATGGGGTTTTAGCACTGAATCCTATTCCAGGTATCCCTTCTGGGTGACGTCCCTCTAGGGTGGACTTGAAACAAATTCTCAAGGGTGCCAAGCTAGACTTTATCATCTCTTTGTCATCTGGAGGCTCCTGTATGTATTGTTTTGACCTAAGAGTCGATGAAAGAAAATCATTTTCACAACCTGAGCTTTTAAAAGGAAGACCACCATCACAAATCCTTCCTATTACATTCTCATATTCACAATGTCAGGAGCTAACCTGTTCTGTTACTGGAACCATTCGAAATTTTTGTTTCATCTATTGAGCTGAAAATATCTTCCAAGAAAATTTCACTTCTTTATCCCACTGGGGAAGTCAATGCAAGGTTGGCCTTTCTTCTGCAAGTTAACTGTGTTACTAATTGCCTCGACGCTGGGACCACCATGAGCTTGGCGTCCACTCAAGGTTCTCTGACGTTATGACATCTGCCAGGCCAAGTCTCCCCAACCCCCTGCTTGTACAGTTGATTTGTTGAGTCTAGATGCAAGAGTTTATATTTATCCTTATTATTACCCAAGTCAGTCAAAATAATTTTGAATCTTGATTCTGCCATCTGTCATCTTAGCAATTCCTCCAGCTTTGTGTCATCTGAGACTTGCTACGCATGTCTCCTACTTCATCCAAGTCATTGATTAAAATGTTGAACAGGACAGGGCTTCCCTCCAGGTTAACATTGATCCATTAATCAATATTTGTTGGACATGGAATCTCAACAGTCATGAATCCAAATAACCCTATCCACTTCCCATCTTGGCCTGTTTTACTGGTAGCTGTGCTTTTTCATTGGGGGGTGGGGGATGGAACCAAAGATGACTGGGGTACATTACTATGAGAAAAAGAAGGGCATATCTATTAGGATGCATTTAAGAGCAGGTAACAAAGCCCCAACTCAAGCTGATTCAAGCGCACAGAAAGGGGTGGGGGTATCTTAGTAGGACAAATACTAAGTAGCTCAGTATAGATGTGACTTCAGGCAAATCTCTATCCAGGCTTCAGAGAGGTGCTCAGATCCCAGTTCTCCCAAGCTGGCTCTGCTTCCTTCAGTCACACCCTCCTCTCTAAATCCAGAGCAGTCTGCCAGGACTGTTTGGGCTCCCAGTTTCCTTGCTAGGAAACAACGGAGAAGAAAGGGTCCACGCCCCAAAATTCCCAGCAAGAGTTGTGAGTTCACAGTGCAAGGAATGCTTAGGTCACACATGACCCATTTGTGAACCGACCGCAGTGGCCAGAGCACAGAGCGTGTTAAGCCAAACAATCACACCCACCCCATCAAGTTGCAAGTCTGAGAACTTGGGAAAGTGCCTTCCAGAGGAAGTTCTAGCTACTCTCTCTGGAAGGCAATAAAGGGAATTCAGGCCTCTGGTCTCAAAGAAACCAGCAAGCCGCCAGGGAATCACCAAGTGAGAAGTGCTATCACCACTACGGCCTGAGTTTGAGCCCAGCCAGGGAGTGACTCACAGGGCGCAGCAGACCTCTCCTGTCTCACTCACTGCTCTCTTCAGCAGATCAGTCTGTTCTGCTCCTCAATCTGTCTCTGGGGAATCCTCTTACATACATCCATCCCCCATACCTCTAGCCTACATGCAAAAATAAATAAAATTTAAACAACAAAAGCTCCCTTCCAAACAAAATCCTCCAGGGCAGTGGAGGGCAGTATGTAATCAAATCTCGGATGTATAGTGACTTTTAGACAGTGATGGGGCTCTAAGTCTGTCCCATGTCATGACATCTGGTTAAATGCACCTACCAGGAGGACCCAAGGGGTGTTTCTAGAGGCTTCCATGCAAAAGCCCTCACATACGCAGCCCCATACCTCTGGCATGGCCTTTGGTTATCATGTTCTCAAGGAGGGTGACAGTATCTCACCAAACCCTGGCTTCCAAAGAACACCGCCCAAGAATGTTGGTACCAAGATTGCCATCGACAAATACAGAGTTTTTACTAGAGAAAGGCCCTCAAACTTTAGTGTGTATAAAACCATCTGCGAGGACTATGAACAGCACATCTCCCAAGGCCTACCCTCAAAGGTTCTGCTTCCAATTATCAGGACCAGAGCTGAGGAACCTGAATCTTTAATAAACTCCCTATGTGATATTCACACAGGTGATCCCCAGTTCCATTTTGAGAACACAGCTTCTGTCTCTTGGAGAAAGAGGGTCCACAGCCTTGCCCCAGCCATTCCAGAACCCCTGTCATTTCCTTTCTCTCCACAGCTGGCACTGCCCCCGAGAAAGAGGAATACACAGAGGTTGTGTTTTATAAGAAATAAATTTGGTAATCACAATAGCGGTAATAGTTGTAGAATTTTGTTCATGGTATGCACGATGCTTTTCTTTTATTTTCTTCCCTTTTTTAAAAAAAAACTATCATCAGAGTTCTGTTAATATGGGCCATCTGTCAGGACATGGAAATGCAGATTAGATGTTCACACATTAGATATTTTCCTGAAAATATTCCTAAAAATTTGCATGTAAAGTATGTCTTGTTAGAATTTTCCTGCTGGTTTCCATTCAACAAATATTTCTTGAGTGCCAGTTCATGCCAGACTGGAGCTCCAGGCCTCCCCCACCCCACCCCATGGGTGTTCTGACCTAGGTCTCCTGTGATATCCCTAACAGCCCCCCACACCTCATTAGCTGGCCTTTGCTGCTATTTGTCAATGAGCTCACTGGATTTGACTCTAGAGCAATGAAATGCCTTGTGAGAACCCAATGGAAGCTATGTCCCTCTCCCCAGAGAAAGTGTGTGTGTCTGCATCCATTGGGATTCTATTGACAGTGACAGACTAGCTCAGGGGATTATTGACCCATATGACTAACACTCCAGAGAGCAGGGCTGCCTTCAGGTATGGTTTAATGCAGGTGTTCAGACTCACTGGAACTCACATCACTGCCACTGTCTTCACATCTCTCAGTCCAGCTGCTCCGAGCACACTGTTCTCAGAGAGGTTCCCTGTAGCTTGGAGAGGGCTGTATAGTGGATATTTTGAACAGTCTGAACCAAACAGACACAACCATGGAATCTCTTCGATCTTTCCTGTTGCTTATATTAAATGTGCACTGATGGATCCCCTTTTTCTTCCCTCGATGGTGCCCTGGACTGATTCCAAAGGCTTCTGATCACTGTTAGGCATTAAGAAGCTTGGACCAGCCTAGTCCAGTTTAAACCCATTCTCAGATGCTACCCGAATGTCCTTCTCCCCAGGTAGGGCATCCCGGGGCCCCAGGAAGATGCCCCGCATGGGCACGTGCCCACCCTGCCTCTCTTCCCTCTGCCCGCCTGGGTGCCCACCTTCCTGGACTCCACCTGGGAACTGATGCCACCTCCTGCCTGCCTGGGTCCCCTCTCAGGCCTCCCCTCAGTGGCATGGCGCATGGGGCATATGCAGGAGTTTTTGGAGGCTACAGGGAATGCCCAGCACACTTGGCACAGTTCTTACCTCACCGCTTCTTGGCGTTGGGATGCCCGACGGCTGTCCCCCGGCAAGATGGCTGGAGCGTCAATGCCAGGCAGAGTCCACGTGCCCCCAGGGGCCCATTTTGGCCACACCAACGGAGGGTGCTCCCTCTGCTGTGCCGCTTCTGCCCTGCCTTCGCCCTCGGTTGTTTTTCCTTTGCCCTGGCAGTGGGCAGGGACCCTGCGGAGCCACGCGGCCGCAGCGGTCACCTGGAGCCTGAAAGCCAGGCTCGGCAGCTGCGCCAAGAGTGATTTTGCTGAGTCCTGCTCCTTGGCTCGGACTTCTTCAGGCTGGTGGCCTCTCATCCTGACAAGTACTCCGTGAGTCCCTCAAAAGCGCCCACCGCCTGAGGACAGGAGCGGAAGGACGGCGGGAAGAAGCGGAGTCGTGGCCCTGAAGTCTCGCGGTACCTGCGGCTAGTGATTGGCCCATGTGCCCACCCCTCAACCAATCAACAGCGCTGATGGGCAGTGAGCCGCTCTGATTGGCTTAGACCTTGGTCACTCACACCATCCTGGAGTGAGAACTTGAATGGGGGAGGGTGGATCCCCAGGTCCTCTGTGGCCGGAAGTGGGGTCCGTGGCTGCTGGGTGGTGTGTGTAGACACAGTGGCGTGCAGACTAGAAATGCACGTTTTGCCATCACACTCCCCGTTCTCCAGAACTTTCACAAACCAGCCTTCCAACGTCAAAGGGGCAAGCCCTGCCGACAATTTTGTACTTCCAAAAGTTGTGTATCCCTGCTCTTTGGTACTTATCAGAAGTAACCACTTGGTACCAAGTCTCCTGGAATTTCCACCAACCCAGTCAGCGCTTACGTGCGGGGTAGGGTGAAACCTGGTCAGGCAATTGGCTTCTTGCATCTGTTACCACTCAAAGATATAAAATCGTCCGTGCTGAAAAATTCAGGGTCTCTGCTGGAACAGAAAGCCATCTGTGGCACAAATAAGGTTCCTCGAAGGTCTCCCTTCCCTTGTGGGGATTGTCTTAATATACCTCTTACACATTCTGTCTGGAATACTCCATCTTCTACCACCTGTTCTGACTCAAGCGACCTTGATTGCCTTACACCGGTATTGATAGATTCA